CATCGAAATGGACTGTTCCTGTTGCAAAACATCAATCCATTGTCACTATTCATGCGTTTCATACAAATTCCATTGTGTTGTAACTCTCCCTTTCTTGATCTTCCCCCATATTATGCTGCGATACATTACGTTGACACTCACGTCATATACTACTTATAAGTAGCTCGCACCACACCCTGTCAAAGTGTATGTTATAGTTACTTATCGAAGACAATGGATGGATGAGGTTGTGTTGATTGTGCTTGTGCTGATTGAAGTTAGACATTAATACTGTTGGATTAAGAGTTAGTACACGAATTACTGAAGATCCTTGGATGGAGTCTGGCGAGGAGCAGGTGTTGTGGATGCACACTGCTGAAGAGTCCTACACACTACTTCCAGGTTTCTATTGGTGGTGGTCGTCTACCAACGATCGATTTTATCGTTACAATGAAACTGTTTGTTTGCATTTCATAAACCCGTATATGTAACGAATTAAACGTAAGCAACTAAAAAAACAACTTCCTTGCAAATTCATTCTATTCCATTTTTTTTCTTATTCTTTATCAATAACCATAGTTAATTAAAAAAAAAATTAAAAATCGTTTAACTGATAAAACGTTTATCTTTATTGACTGATCCACTTAAGTTTTACAGTGCAGCTAACTGTTCATTGTCCAATTCAGTATTAATTCATTGTTTAAACAACACAACGTTACTGTTTCTCTTAATAATTATAGATAAACGGATACATTTAGGAAATAATACGTATACCTAATTCTAATCAATGTTTTCCGTATGTTGGCTCATTTTCATGTATCAGTTATCTATCTCTCTTACTATGAGATGATGCATAAACCAGATTAAAAAAAAAGCTGGAATTTAACGACTGTTTGACATATGGTTGCCAGGCTAATAATAATAATAATAATAATACTTGAAAGTATTAAATTACTGTCAACTCAAATAGAGTACTAGAACTAATCACAATTGCCTCGTCATTTTCTGTCCACATGAAACTTATAAAGAAGAACTCTCTCTCTGGCTTACATTATAATTAATCTGTTTTGTTTGGTGATTTAAAGTAAAGAAACACGCCCAAAGTGGGAGAGAGAGAGCGAGAGAGACGTTAGCGTCTTCGGTTGTTAGTGCTTACACACACACACACACACACACACGAAGTAAATTGTCATTTGCTTGTTTTTTGGTGCAAAACATAGTTTTGTTTGAATTAAGACAAAAAACACTTTGTCATTCCAGCTACTCTTGAAAATGACATTGAACAAAACACATGTACTATAAGTGTGTGTGTGTGTGTGTGTGCGCGCGCGATTTTCAAGCTGAGAAAAAAATTGACAAATACTGAGCAGGTGAGCAATGACTAGTTATACATATATATGTATATATTTTTTTCTTTTCTGTGAAAAATGTGTACAAATGACATACATGGTGACTGGACAATTGTGAACAACAACAAGTGAATTTACATTTTGAAAACAGAAACAAACTGAAAATGAGAAATAGAAACACTTTATGGTTCACTTTCAGACATTAATTGTACAATTTCACTTTTTTCTTTTCATGTGAGTGTGGGTGTGGGTGTGTTGTTATGATCATTGACGAAAAAGTTGATGAAAACAATTAATAATGTGAAAATTTTTATTTGAAAATTTACAATAATAGTATTTATTACTATGTGGATCGTTGTTTTTACACATAGAAATCATGACTGAATCATTGTTAGACCAACCATTGGACTGTCGTTCCGTCCTGTCACAGGACTCATCCATCAGCAGTGCGCATTCACGACTCCTTCTGCTCACAAGATTCGCATCCAGGATCATCGATCTTGAGCGCCGGAACGCCTAATAACCTCTACACCACTGAGCCAGCATCTAACGATTTTGTGCGACCTCACCCATTCTCTTTGGTAGTTACTGCCTACAACCGACGGGGTTGAACTCTACTGGTCAAGAAACTGCCATCCAGTGCTCTCAAGTATCCAACAGTGGTCTAACAATGATTTTTTCATGATTTCAATGTGTAATTTATATTTACGTTTATGATAAATGTTTTTTCTGAAATATGGGATCCTGTTGTCTTGTTCGCTTTGTATCATTTCATAAACTATTGATACTTTATTCTATCATTTCCTATACTTGATAGGAGAATTCCTAAAAGGGGATATAACGAACCGAATTTCAGATCACACAGTTGGTTACTGCTGGTGTATACTGTGAGTGAACTAATGTCTACTAGTAAAACTAAATGTTTCCACGTAAAACAGTCCGTCCATCTGTAGTGCCTCCACATTCCATATTCCAGTCCGCTTACATTTAATTTGGTTAAGCCCTTTCGATTAATTTATTTAACCAAGCCATTTGTATTACAACAATTTATATGTACCATTCGTTCTTATTATTGTCTGGTTTGTATGATGAGCTTACATGACGTGTTCCATTTGTCATTTGACCTGGTCAACCATTCGTCACTTTTATTCATGTGTGTGCATGCCTATCTCGTTGATCACATGTCTGTCTTATATTCGTCTGACCATATATTCTTAGTTATGCTCTATTTCTTTGAGTTGGCTCATCAGTCTTCTCCACATCGCTTCATCCGCTTCCTTCGCCCATTCGTTCGCATTGTAATACTGGAAGTTGGCTCGACAGCCTTCTCCAATTCACGTTGCTTCATTCGTTTTATTCACTGCTTCTTCGCTTCACTTTGTAGTGTGTCCATAAAATAAACGTATTCAACACTACCAGTTCACCTTCTGATTTATAAACCGTCAGACGCTAGTTAGTAACGATTATCTGGACGAGCTAATTACTGAGCTTAAGAACACACAGTAAATCAACACACTACACATCAATCGATTACTCTCAAGCGAACACTCAGCATATAGATGTATTTCCATCTAGTTTACTCTGTATATTAACGTTTCTTATGGTCTTCAATATGCCTCCTATCTAACATGATCTAATTTGACTTACACTAAACTTTGTACAACATGTAGAGCAGCTGAATGAACAACTTAAACTACAATTATTCTTTACAATTTTTATGGTGAAATTCATTTTCATTCCTATTTTTTTTAAACTATTTTTTGGTGAAGCTTGTCATTAAAAACAAACTCAATCAATGAACAGATACACAATCTCGAAACATAACACAATGTCAACTAAAAGGTACATTTTTGACTTTTAGCATCGATAACAGCTGTCACTGATTGCCATACTTCAACTTTTGCCAACTGCTGAAAGTGTACCAAAAAAAAAAAACTGAATTCCTTCTAGACTAACTAACTAACTAACTAACCTACACTTTGTTGTTGTAGTAGTAGTTGTTCGTCTAATGGACTTGACCATTCACCCGAATGACAGGCGATCAGATGGACCTGCATGTGTTTGTGTGTACACACACACACACGCGCACACATTCAAAAATTGTAAACAATCATTCTCTCCATGCATGCATTCAACTCATCAAACTGTCATTGATGATGATGATGATTAAACCTGTCAACAGAGAAAACAAGTTTTATTGTTTCATTTTAAAGTTTGTTATTTTGATTATTTCATCATTTACTTACAGTCTGATTAGCGTTGAATTTATTCAACATCATCATCATCATCAACATCATCGTCATAAACATCATCATCATCATCATCATACTAATACCAATATTAATGACAGGCATAAAACCATCTGTACGTGTGTGTGTGTGCATATGTGTGTGCGTGTATCGGTGTATGTGTGTGTCTATGGGTATCTGCTGTGCATTGATTGTTGTCTGTACAAAATGAAGAATTAATCTGTGTTCTTGTCTTCGACATTTATTTATTCATTCAGTCATATTTCTCCAGTCCAAATCAAAATCTGTCTAAGTTGTCTTCTTGTCAAAATAGTCAGCAGTAAAAAAAAATAATGTGATAAGATCAGTGAAAAAGATGATGAGAAGAAAAAAATTGTCACAAGTAGAAATGATTGTGTGGTTAGAGCAATGATGCATGCATAGTATTCATTGAAGGCCTATGCGTATAAGTGTGCGTGTGTGTGTGTGTTTGTACTTAATGACATAATTTGTTGAGATCGATGTCATGAGTGTGGATAGAATAAATATATAAATACAATTCGTTTTTTTAAACATAGTTCTTGAGGGGTAATTTAGATTTTTCTACTGACAGAGAAGAATAAGACGAAGTTGAGTTCAGTAAATTAACATAGTATGCCTAAAATGCGCAACATATCGATCTTAGTCAGAGCACCACCGTAAAACAATCTGGGCACAGTGGACATCACATTCCCATGATCCTCCTGTCGGTGATTCAGCCTAATACTCTTAGATGACAGTGATGATGATGAAGATTTTCACCCTTCACTGAACATAATCAAATAGTTATCTATCATACAAGCTTCAGTCAGTAAGACTGAAAATCTTGAGAAATCGGTTTCCATTACGAACATGTTCGGTTGCAATTACTCGGAATGTATAATACACATTTGAAATCATCAATCTGTAGATCAATCAGAGTTAGACAATAACACCGTTGGATGCCGACCCAGTGGTCTGATGGTTAGGCGTTCGCGCACAATACCGAAGGTCCCGGGTTCGAACCCGGCGAGGTGCAGGAGTCGTGGACGCGCACTACTGATGAGTCCCATACCAGGACGAAACGGCTGTCTTTCAGTGCTTCTAGGTTTATAATGGTGGTCTAACAATGATCGACTAATGATTTCGAATAATCCCTATGCTTACGATACTTACATTTTTCCTTGCTATAAACGTTCCCTTCTCTTTCTTTTGAAAATATTAAGAACTACAGTTGGAATCGAATGACTAACCTCTAGAATCTGGAAGAAATGTGTACACTTTTCTTTAGTTTCGGACTTTCCCAGTACACCCAACCACAAAGTCCTAATCAGCGGTGTTCCTGTGTGATGTCGGTTTAAGAAAAACACAATGCCATTGGCTTACTCACAAGTAGAAAGATTTATTATTTTGAAAATAAATCAGTAAATTGGAAAAAAAGAAGCGTGTGTATACATTAGTATGTAAGATTAATCAATGATAAATATATGTATTTATATATATATATATGTATATATATTTATATATATTTATTTATATAATTCACAGTTTTATCTATCTCAAATGTATCTAAATACAACACGTTCCCCGGAACGAAATCACAGATTTTCTACGTATGGATATTGATTATTGAACCGTGTGTTCAATGGACAATTGATCATTTGTTTCATTGTTATCACTGGTGATAGAGTGAGTAGAGAAATTCGGAAAAAAAGACAAAAAACAAAACAAAACAAAAACAGAACTAAAATCAATTAAAACAAGCGAAAATTTTGAAGTGAACGAATCAAAAAAGGTAAGTACGTGTATGTATGTATGTATATATATATTCAGGGCAGTGTTTAAACCTTGTTCACCATACAAGAATGATGTCGGTGCTTACGAAAGGCTTTGCGCCAAAAACATATCATAATAATTGGAATTCTCATTTCTATGCATTGGATTCTGCAAAGGAATAGATGACAACGCAGCTGGATGTGGCGTCGTCGACCAAGGTAACGGTCCGACTGTCCCTGTGTTTGTAGATTCTTTCAATGAATATAAATAAGCTGCAGTTAAAACATTTTGCCAATTCTTATAATCAGTTGATTTATGCATTGTTAGCATATCGGATGATAGCCATGAGGAATTCGGTAAAGGATTATGATTGATTGTATCATTATTATTCAATTGGTAATTTGAATGAGGACTGGAAAAACTTCGAAGCCATTGTGATAAATACGATTGAAATAAATACATCGATTCGGAAGGAGCTGTTGGATGATTTATGTCAGTGATTGGACGAGATGAGAAATTGTTATAATTGTTAAGAGTTGGCATATGAGTTGTTGTTGTGGTGTTAGTGGTTGTCAATGAGGCCGGTATTGTTGTTGTAGTTGCTGTTAAACCGGATCGAGGTAGTTGTGATGGAGGTGGCAAGAAGAACGGCATAAATGAATTATCCAATTTAGGCTCAGTTAACAAACCATTCGACGACCGGTAATGATTCTGCGCTGCATTCGTTTCATACTGTAGAAATCGTAAAGCATCTTCCATTTGAGTTGGTTTTTTGCCTGATTCATGTAAATTAAAACTCAGTAAATGTGTATATACATGCATGCATAATTCTGTATGACCATGAAATATTTGTCCACATAATAAACAAGGAAATGTATTCGGTGATGTTGTCGACACGGATTGAGTATGATTAGTTGTAGTAGGATTTATATGTTCATTGGTTGGTGGTCGATGCATTAAATTTGTATTAACTAACCATTCCAATGTTCTTCTGTCACTAGTTAAACATGAAGGATGAATTGATTCATGATGATTCTCTTTGAATGTGTTATTATCATTATTATTATTACTATTATTATTGTTAGTAGTATTGATAGTACTAGTTGTAGTATTAGTAGTAGTATTAGTATTAGTAGTAGGAGGAGGAGCATTAGAACAAATATTCAATTCAGAATTCATTGAATTAGCTAATTTTCCATAGAAAAAATCTAAAAAACTACGAGCTAGTTGATAAGAGAATTTCTCTTGTGTATCTTTACTATTCATCATGATATTTACAGTGTCTTCTTCTTTATTGCCAAACAATTGTTCATTGTAATAATTAAAATTAGGTGATTGTGTACGATGATTGGCTGTCATATTCGGTGAAATATTAATATTATTATTATGATTATTATTACTATTATTATTATTATTACTGCTTGTATTCAGTTCATTGTAATGTGGAAAACAATTAGAATCACGATTAGTTGTGTAATTATGATTATTAGTTGAATTCATTAGAAATGAATAATTATTATCTTTTATAGAGATTTTAGCCAATGGCGGTGAACTATACTCATCAGAGGAGGTATTAGAATATTTGGAATTTGAATTGGCGCGTCGTTTGACTCGTTTAAATGAATTCGAATCATGGTGTATATGATTATTGCTATTATTATTATTATTATTAGCAGTAGTATTATTAGTAGTATTGTTAGTAGTATTTCTAATATCATTCCATGCATTCCTATGCTCTGTTACATTGTTTGCATGTTTTAAATTTGTAAAATTTAATTTCGGTGTTTCAGGCAATGAAAAACTAGAAGATAAACGAGCTAGCTGAGCAAGTGCATTCGATGTGGTCTGTTGTTGTAGATCAGTGGATTTGAGAAAATGATTATTCACCATTGAGGAGTTGGATTCAGTTTTCACCGAATTAATCGGTGAAAATAAATTCGATTGAGGTGATGCTTGTCGCAAAGGATAATTAGGATTGAATGTCAATGAACTGACTACTGAGTCATTGTTGTTGTTGCCAATATTATTAGTTGTAGTAGTAGTAGTAGTATGACGAGTTGTAGTATTGAATGCAGAACTAATTTGATCAATATCTCCTGCTCCTGCTGCTGCTACCGCCGCTGCTCCAACACTATTGGCATAGTTCATCTTGGATGTGTCATTTGACGCTAAATATTTTGAAGTGATATTCCGTTTATTAAAAGACGATGGTATTATTTCATTTAAATTCATTGCCTTCGATTTAGTTAATTTGGTAATACAGTTGGTATTATTATTATTATTACTATTATTATTATTGTGACTGTTGTTGGCGTTATTGAGAATTTTTCCACCATTTGTCACAGGAATTGAATAACCAGTGGTTTGTTTACTACGTATAGCATTTGACATAGGCGATAAAAATCGACCGGAAGCAACACTACCATCCATAATGTTGCCAATATTTTGACAGGTGCGCGCTAGCATAGCCAAAGGACTTGGACCAGTTGAATCACACTAAAAAAAAAAATTGAACAAAAGGAAATTTACTAGTTTAGTCAACGTTACACAGTTCATTACTGTTGATGATCTAATAAGGTTTCATGCTTGAAAGATAGATAACTAGAACCAGAGGTTAAGGGAGTTGTGCGAAATGGTTCCGAATGGATGCCAGATGCGTTCGATCGGAATTTATTCTTTCCTTTTTTTGGTAATGATTCTGCTGTGAGCTTGATATTTGTTTTAGCGTTGCTCAAACCAACCTACTGAATAGTTTGGCATTTATCGTTATGAATATACATCTAGCTGCACAGATGTCATGTGACAGCTTTGTGTATACTGAACGTATTGAGTAAACATGTTAATATCATAACAGAACTTCTTTGCAGTATTGCATACTAACATTAAGCTAACACTAACACATATATGTTGAAGATCGTTAAACATGAGATCATTGTTTGAAAAGTTAGTAGAATATAAAATCTTAATTAGAATAGAAAACCGTCTCTGGAAATTCAGTTACTAGAGTCTTCAAACCCTATTCGTTCTTTTGATTTATCAAACAATTATAAGTAACAAGTTGATTGATGAATTTCGGGAAACAAAAAAAGTGTCTACAGTGTTCAACACTGTTCAAGAACACCATATCGTTTTCATCCGATACGATTGTACTATGAAGTTTATGAAAGACTTTCAAAGAAAAAATATGATATCAATTGAAATCATGGATCGATCATTGTTAGATCACCGTTAGAAACCTGGAAGCACTGGACGGTCGTTTCGTCCCGGTACGGGACTCATCAGCAATGTGCATCCACGACTACTGCATCTTACAGTATCCGAACACTGGACATTCGGTCTTGCACGTGAACACCTAACGTAGATGAATCTAGAGATTTTGCGCGACGTTTTGTCACTAATATTCCGAGAATTTCCTCATGAAAAAACTAGTCATCATAACCAATGGTCTACTAGTTGAGGAACGTATATTCAAGATCTCACATCATAGTAAATAATTTTTAGCAAAATTTGGTGGCAAAAGGTATTAATTTAAGTGAAATTTACTCTTCAATTTAAAATTTTTATATCTACTGTGAAATGTATTTAAGTTGGCCATTAAAGAAATAAAAAGGATTTTTTCCCCCAAATAACTATTGTTTAAAAAAAAAGTGATTTGAAACTTTAAGAAATCACTTCCTCAATCTCAATCTTTGTTTTTTGTTAGAGACTAAATTTAGTAACATCATTGACTGAATTGGCAGTAGGCGGTGTTTAAATAATGACAATCAAAATGTTTGTTTCGTCGGTTAACCAAAAAAAAACAGCACGAACTAAAGTATTAGAATTGACAGCATCCAATTATGTTGTGTCAGTGGATGAGCAAACACTGTACATTTTCGCAACAATTTAATATGATATGAATCATTCACACAGGTAAAATGGAGATATTATTTTTTTTTTGAATCTAGCGGGACTGTTGGAACATGTTTCTGTGGCGTTGATTTTCAGATTTACAGACACAGTAACCTCTATAGGATACATTTGTAAACAACACATACTAATGATGTAAAATCGGTTTTTTTTTACATTTTCTTTCCCAGAAACTATCGATTCACGAGAGTGATTGACCAGACAGTAAGTAGCTGTGTTGGAAGTTGACTGTGTCATTGTTTTACCCCACATCCCTCCCTATTCGATACGTGTTCGCCACAGTAGTCGCTGAAACAATATTGGCTCCTGGTTAGATTGTTCGAAAGTCTGAAAATCGCATTGTAACCTACCAAGGTTAACACGTTGACTGACTGCTTTCTATACCAGAACAGATCTTAATTGATTGGTCAGTACTATTCTGATCTATCAAAACCAACCCGCCGTAATTAATCTAACTCAAACAGTTTACAGTTTTGACATATACAACATGGTTACATAAACTCTCTACAACTATCACTAATAATGACCAGTGAATTTTATGTTATACAATAAGCTCAATTTTAAACTTATATATATATATATATATATACATGTACTATGTAGAGAACAATGTATAATTTACTCAAGCGAAATATAAAAGAAAAACTCTCGACATGATTAAAAACTATACACATAGACATTTTTTCTTATGTTTTGCAATATAATCACCTCTACATACACGCCAATCAAATGTAACTGTAATAAAAATTCAATGAAAAAAAGAGTAAATCATCTATTGTTTGTTATTTTTTTTGCAAAAATGAAAAAAAAAATAAAAATTCAATCTCTTTTATTGATTAATATATAGTTTTAATGTAAAAATTAAAATAATTCATTTATTCATGTTGAGAAGATAGCAACTGTGGATTATGTATGGTAGAACGTTTGTCGATTGGTTTTTTGATTGACAGATAAACTTGACGATGATGATGATGATGATGCTGATTCCATGACATGAGCGGATCAATAAGCCTGTCTGTTTCAGCCTCCTTCCAAGCTGATTCGTAGTTACTGGTCACTGACAACCCTAACCTAGGATGAACCCAATTTGTGACCTTGAAGACGACCACATGACTATGATTATAAATAGTGGTGTTTATTTTATTTTATTTTTTTGTTGAGAAAATGACTACTGTTTGATAAGCCTTGGGGGAAACTACTCATAAGTAGATTTACTGTTGATGATGACGAATATTTGTTAACTATGGAAGGTACAATAAATATTCATTGCCGAAGTAGTTTTAGGGTAAAGAGATTAACTTTTCTACAAATATCCATTGGTTATAAGTCAGTAGACTAGACAATGACCGCCAGATTAGTTTGTTATTGACAAGAATAAAGATGTTGAAAGACAGACGTAATTAAGTGAGATAATTATGATAATAAGTCAATTAAAATATTCTATTATTAGGTAAAATTAAAATCAGCAAATCACATGTACGACAATTCCGTGGACACTATATGATCATGAATAATCTCAGGTTAGGTAGATCACTATTAAATGTCAAGAAATGTCAATTTTCTTATATATATATTTTTTCCGTACCATTCACGTAATAATTTATATGAAATACAACATCTACAAGTGGGAATCGAACACAGGACTTGACCTTCGGTGTCGCTTAACCTCTTGGCCAATGAAGCTATGCTCAATATCCTAATTTCAATCAATTCAAGATAGTGAGCGACTTCATTCTTTGGCTCTGATGCCTAACTGTCTCACACCCGACATGGTTTTAATTGTATCTAGATATCCCTCAATGCAAAAGGAAAAGAGAAAGGCCCAAAAACATATTACGCCCAGGAATAGAGAAAGATATGAGAAGAATGAACAAAAATTGGACAGAACTGGAAAGGGAAGTACAGGACAGAGTAGGTTGAAGAACACTGGTCGGCAGCCGATATGCTCCATTTGGGGGGTGACAAGCGTAATTAAGTAAGCGTGTGAGGTTTATTAATCAAATAAATGGATGAACATTATTCAAAAATCGACTGATATTTAGTTTGATATTCGTTGACAAAAGGTTTAATTTTCTCTTGTTCCAGTACTCATAGATGATAATTCATCAACCGATTATTGGTAAAATGAAAGTTGTATTCACTTATTTTCCCCCAGTTGATAAAACGCAATGAACAATTTATAACTAACCAGACAATATTGCTGTTAAGTAGAATATATTTTTGGCTAAATTTTATATTGATGATAACCATCGGTGACACAAATATAATTGGACAGTTAATTTTGATTTTTAATATAGAACATAAATTATTTGGACGAGTAGAAAAAAAATGCCTTAAGTCACCTAGCTGTATATATTATTACATTACATGAATAACACAATAATAATGTAAATAGAGAGAAAATATACATGGAATTTCCACAGGAAAATAGAAAATGGATGGATACATGTTTACTGGTGTAGATTTTTTTTTTTAATAAAGATTAATTATAAGGTGTCAAATTTTAGCCAGAAACTGTGTAAGCAAAAAAATACAACAGCTTCCTTCCAATAGATAAATAATTTTATAAACTAATTATAATAGTCGAGTATTTTGTCATCTATGAGCCTTTTTTTTCTAAAAGGAGTTCTTTGTTAGACTGTAACAAATTAATTATGAAAATGACATAAACAAGAAGTTCGGTTTGATTTATTCCTAGCTGGAAGTGTTTTCATTAACCAACAATGAGGGAAACTATGATTGTATGAAATTAGTGGAGCCAACGAATGCTGAACTATGAAGCAAAGGACAGAGTCTCTGTACAAGTAAAAGAACTCCTTGGATAGCGTGTACCTGAGACTATAAAAAGTGATTGATTTCACGAATTTGGGCATCTCGCTTCAAGAAATTAACTGTAGATTTTTAAAATTGACATTAAAACAGTCTGTAAACAGTATTCCACAAAGTTTATCCTAATTATTTTGACAATCAATTAATTTAATGAGAAATAGCTCACATTGTTCTTCATACACTAACTAGGTTTGCTTCATCAGTACTTACAATAAATTTTATACAAGATAGTGTATATTAAAATAGAAGAGTTTTGAGTTAAGTTGGAAATGTAACTAAAATAACCTAAATTCATCACTGTTACTTAATAGCACAGTTTGCATCATGTCAGGCAATCAAGTATAAATTATCTTAGTTTTCGGTAGCATCATTTGTAATTAATTATCTTGATTACTTAATGGAGTCATACATGAACGTCTTCATTGATTTATTTCTTGACCGGAATAAGTGAAGAAGCTCAGTGAATTTTGACACCACCACCTGGAGACCTTCATGGATTACTGCCAATCCCAAGCTCGCATAACGAAAGACGGTCAGATATGGGGTTATAAGACCTCTAAACTTGCTAAAATAAAACACTATCTAAAACAAATCATTCCAGTAGTGAATATACGAATTCATGATAAAAGAGTTTTTTTGGTATCATTTAACAAAAGTAATCACAAGTCATCCATTGACAGTCTTCATGTATTCCAGACAGTTTACATAATTAGTAGTCTTATACGTAATTAAAAAAAAAATAATAATCCTTCATATTA